AGTCGCGTATGCGCTGTCCGACTAAACGGGACGGTACGGACTCGGAAGGATAGAGACAAGCCGTTGCCTCTTCGTCGTATCTGCCTACACTCCTACTCTTCCCATTCTTGTTTAATTTTTTCATAGACATATTGCTAGAAATAACCTTATCCTCGTCTGAATTTTCAGGAGTAGACCTCTTACCGGGAGGCTCGCTTATCGACTTAGAATATGCCGATAACATAGTTCTATTCGGTGAAGACGCTGACAAAATGCAGAGTCTTCTAACCACCCTAGGCAACAATACAAGAATGTTCGGGATGCGGTTTCCCCCTCGAAATGCAAAATGTTGCTTCAAGATTGGGTTGCATCGGCACCTGAACTAGTGATAGGGAGTGAAGTGATCGATCGTGTAGACCGCTTCCCTTATCTGGGGAGCCTCATCAGTGCTGATGGCATGTTGACTGACGAAATCTCAGCACGGATACAGAGAGCTCGATTGGCTTTTGCCAAATTGTGTCACCCAAGGCGCATGCGAGATTTTCGTTTGCTAACCAAAGGACGAGTCTACTGCGCAGCAGTTCGCTCCGTCCTACTAAATGGATACGAAACATGGCCAGGGAGAGTAGATGACATTCGCAGGCTATTAGTATTCGATTATAGATGTCTTCGAAGCACTGCTCGAGTATCGTGGGACCACCGAGTGAGCAATGCTGTCATTAGGAAACGAGTTATAGGTATAAAATGAAGCATTGAAGCTTCATCAGTTGAGGTGGTTGGGACATGTGTTGCGTATGCCTAACAACCGACTGCCTCGAAGAGCTATGTTTTGTGGTGTAGGAGTAGGTTGGAAGGAAGATAGGGCGACCAAACCAAAACATGGCATAAATCGATGGAATCACTGTTAAGTGGACTGAGTCATGTCAGTAGTTGTCGACTACCCGGTTGGGCTACGGGAGATGATAATAATCGATGGTTAGAGACCCTGAATGACATGGTTCAAAACCGTTTGCAATGGCGCAGGTGAACTTACTCTTTGTGTTCTATGAAATTCTAACCTTCTAAATAAGTCATCACCCCAATCGTTCTCTTCCTGAATATACATCATTGAATTATACTTCTTGCCCGACCGTAGCTGCTACCTTGACGCGTGGTGGTCGGGCTTGTCTATCGTGATGACCCAACCGAGCTATACTGGCTGCAACATATGTTCCTGAAGGTTCTACCATGCCAAGCTGGTCGATTGGAGAACGATGAGACCAACAGCAGCTACCCAAGGTCTGAGGACGAAGTCGTACTGCTGACTGCAGAGGAGTGTGACAGCAGTAAGGTGCTTCCCTCGCACAACCAGCATCTGCAGCGATGCTGCCTATTAACAAGGAAGGAAGGGTTAGAAAAGGACCTCCAAAAAGCTAGACGCTCTGATATAGTAATAATGGCTGGTGACTTTAATGCTCAAGTAGGTAGACTGAGTGAGCAGGAAAGACACCTGGGTGGATGTAATGGTGTCGCGGCTCAGAGAACAGATAATGACGACCGTCTGTTGCGACCATGCTCAGATAGCCGCCTCTTTCTAGCATACACTAACTTTAAGCTTAAGGAAAGGCATCTTTTGACCTGGCGACCCCCCAAAGTCGTCTCAACGTTGGACCCAACTAGATCACATTGCCGTCAGCCACCGATGAAGAGGTTCGATAGAGGACTGTCGCTCGTTCTGGGGCATATGTTTAGATTCACATCATGCTCTAGTGCTATCGCGTATTTGTTTGAGCCTTACTGGTCGCCAGAAAAATATCGCAAGAAAACCTCTTAGGGTTTAACTTAATGATAATATAGCTAAGAATGTATTTCAGGAACAACTAGAAAAACAGTTAGGCAGCCATGTAAGCGATTCCCAACCGGAAGCAGGTTGGAATGATATCAAAAATGCTGCGAAAACAGCAGTAATATCTATCAGTAAGGTAAACCATAAGGTTAGAATGAAGCCGTGGATCTCCATGGCATCTACCGAACTGATGGATGCTCGAAAACTCATCCCACCTGGCTCTGAGGAGCGCAGTCAGCTTAGACGTAGGCTGATAAAAAGCCTACGCAATGATCGAGAACAGTGGCCGCTGGAGAAAGCAAGTGCGATGGAAAAAGTAGAGGCAATAGGAAACACTAGACAACTATGTAGACTCATCAAGGAAACTGGTATTAGGAACGCAAATGTGAGTGAGACTATCTCAGAAAAGGATGGTCTTATTAAACATTGTCAATCCAGGAGACTGGAACGATGGGCAGAACACTTTAGGGATCAGTTCAACTGGTCTTCACCCACTCCTCGGTTACCCACGATCTCCAGTCATCCTGAATGGCGAATCGACGTACGTTCCCCTAGTCTTTATGAAGTTGAGAAAGCGTTAGGAAATCTGGAGCGACGGCGAGCTGCAGGTCCTGATAGACTGACCCCTGAGATATTTAAGGATGGTGGTCCAGTTTTAGCAGCTAGGTTGACTGAGATCTTAGGTAGAATCTGGGAACTGCACGTGATCTCATCCGACTGGTCTCATTCACTGATTGTCCCAATCTATAAGAAAGGACGGAAGTCTTCTTGTGACAATCACAGGGGAATAAGTCTAAATAATATAGTTTCTAAAATATTGGCCTCAATAATACTTCGACGCTTAACGAAAGCTCGTGAAGAACAGACTAGAGAAAACCAGGTTAGTTTTCGACCTGGACGTCGTTGTATAGACAACATTTTCACACTAAGACAGGTCCTGGAACACAGTCACACACCCAGGCGTCCTAATATATATATCTTCCCGGACCTGAAGGCGGCATTCCACTTAGTGGATCGTGAGGTTCTGTGTCAGTGTCTGTCATTGAAAGGTGTACCAAAGAAGTACATTAACCTTATACAAGCTCTCTACTCGAACACCACTGGTCGAGTGAGAGCTTATGGCGAACTGTCACCAGAATTCTTTACTTCAAATGGTGTCCGTCAGTGATGTCCACTTTCTCCATTCTTGTTTAACTTTTTCATAGACATATTGCTAGAAATAACCTTATCCTCGTCTGAATTTTCAGGAGTAGACCTCTTACCGGGAGGCTCGCTTATCGACTTAGAATATGCCGATAACATAGTTCTATTCGGTGAAGACGCTGACAAAATGCAGAGTCTTCTAACCACCCTAGGCAACAATACAAGAATGTTCGGGATGCGGTTTCCCCCTCGAAATGCAAAATGTTGCTTCAAGATTGGGTTGCATCGGCACCTGAACTAGTGATAGGGAGTGAAGTGATCGATCGTGTAGACCGCTTCCCTTATCTGGGGAGCCTCATCAGTGCTGATGGCATGTTGACTGACGAAATCTCAGCACGGATACAGAGAGCTCGATTGGCTTTTGCCAAATTGTGTCACCCAAGGCGCATGCGAGATTTTCGTTTGCTAACCAAAGGACGAGTCTACTGCGCAGCAGTTCGCTCCGTCCTACTAAATGGATACGAAACATGGCCAGGGAGAGTAGATGACATTCGCAGGCTATTAGTATTCGATTATAGATGTCTTCGAAGCACTGCTCGAGTATCGTGGGACCACCGAGTGAGCAATGCTGTCATTAGGAAACGAGTTATAGGTATAAAATGAAGCATTGAAGCTTCATCAGTTGAGGTGGTTGGGACATGTGTTGCGTATGCCTAACAACCGACTGCCTCGAAGAGCTATGTTTTGTGGTGTAGGAGTAGGTTGGAAGGAAGATAGGGCGACCAAACCAAAACATGGCATAAATCGATGGAATCACTGTTAAGTGGATTGAGTCATGTCAGTAGTTGTCGACTACCTAGTTGGGCTACGCGAGATAATAATCGATGGTTAGAGACCCTGAATGACATGGCTCAAAACCGTTTGCAACGGCACCGGTGCATTTATTTTCTGTGTTTTCTGAAATCCTAATCTTCTGGACACTTGAACCCCTCTACTTTTAACTTTCTAGACTTTTCTCATTTAATCATACTTCTTGAATATCTTCTAATCCTAACCTCTCCGATTACTTCTAATACCTTTACTCTCTCTACTACTATTGGATTTTATTTGACAATTATATCTCTGTGCTGATGTGGTATGGCAACATGAACTGATGTACTTACGCGCAAAGTTCAACGTTGCTGTTGATGGTTAAGACATCTGCTCACAAAGGTACATAGAAATTAGGGACCAAATACTAAGAACCTGCGAACAACCCGTCTCTTTGGTGAACCACGTTTGGCGCCCACAAAGTGACGCGGAGTGAAGTGTCGTGTTGCGAACTCATCTTTTAATAGGCAAGTCAACTAGCCTAAGCAACAAGTATCAAAGCTTGATGAAAACGAAAAGTTGTTTTGGAATTTGTCGAAATCTCATGAAGCATTATGCACTATAGCTGATAGCTGAAGTGGTCGACGTGCACATGTAATTTACTACGTACGAACCATTTGGCTGTCGAACTAGACTAAACCTGGAGCAAACTTAAAATAATGCAATGGAAGTACTTAACAGGAAGATGATACACGATCAAAATACACCAATACATTAGCTATCAAAGTCACCCAAATGATGTTAGCTACCTAGTGACGATCCTGAAGGACTGTGGTAGGTAAATACAATATAAAATAGTGAAAGAGAAGCGGAGTATCATTCAAGAACAATTTAATTGAAATTGCCAAAAATTATGGGAACATATAAGTCTGCGAAATCTCCACTCGTGTTTATGGCCAATTTTATATAACGGGAAACAAACTGTTATGTTACAAAGTACAGAGACTATTCAACAGTAAAAGCCTTGGATGACTGAAAGCTTAGCAAACCACGCCCAAAACAAACGAGAAACCAAAGATATAAAAGATCACAAAATATATGGATAAGCTTTAGGGAAATAACGCAATAAACCCCAAAAATATGTATATACACCGTACTAAGAAAAATTCTGCGAGCAGATTTCATTTGGATTAACGTGGACAAAGTTAGGATTTGAAAATGCGAAACTAAAAGAAATAGGAAATCAGTGAGAACTATTAACCACGACTTGAGGCCTGTGGAGGTATTTGTGGGGTATAGGTCGGTTAAGGAGTTTTGCTACAATAGGATAATCCTCATTATTGTTAGTTTGCACGTTGTCATTTGTGGTTAAGGAGGGATTAATTTCCGATACAGGAGTTAGAAGGAGGGAGTCACCAAACAAATTATTAGACTTTTGATTCGATGCCTGGGCATCAACATATGCATAGCCATGATAATTTTCTTGTGGACTATGCCAGTAAGTTTCCGGAGGTGAGTGGCCTCCGGTGGAGAAGCTCTCATCATGACTTTCCGGTTGTGGAGAAACGTTAAGAGCACCGCCCCCTTCAATCTGCTCGATGGCCATTACCAAATGTTCAAGTCGTGCAGCAGTATTGCTTGTGCTCTCAGGTTGCGGGGAAGCTGAACAAATTGATGTGCTACTATTAAAAGATGTAAGGGGAGATGACTGGTGGGTGTCAGTGCTCTCAGGAGAAAAATGAACGTAATTTGAGCGAGACGTGTCGTATACGCAATCAGTCTCAACACGTCGACGTCGATTTCGGACGCATTCCGGTCGGTCCTCTACAAAAATAAGAACTTGGGTAAATCTCATACTTACTTAGGTCATCAGATTTGCGTTTCCTAGACGTCACCGCTGAGCCCGATATCTCTGATAAAACTGGAGTTAGTTGCAAACCAACTGATTGTCGATATACAGCCACTTCGCTTTCTAGCAAACTAACACGCATGAGTAACGTATTAATGTATTTGGCCGTCAACTGCAATATTGTCGCCTAACCGAATAAATGTGAAAAGCATTAATTACCTTGCTCATTTTTTCTCCATCTGATATGGATGGCAGCAAGATGCGGAGAGAATCAAATCCCGCGTTGATACTTTGCATTCTCCGTCGCTCATTGCTATTCGCAATTTCCCTACGAACTCTTTTCTCCTGATCATGATGACCGTGAGTGATAGCAGCAGTGTCGCCAGAGGGTCTGTGTAAGATTAGAAATAGACAGCCATAGGATTTCAAAACCCGCACAAAATTCACAATAAGGATAATATACAAACACTTAATACGACTAACAATCCCATCAAACTAAGTAAAAAATGTGTAAGAGAGCCTGTATATAGAAATTCCAGACCACACAACAAAAGCAATATGGCGTCACGTGCAGAAGCTCACCTTGAAGATTTTTCACATCCTTCAGCTGACATCTCCGAGAGAAAGCGCTTGTTTTCCATCAAACATCAAATACAACAACCTTTCTGGCACTAATTAGCAGGCAAATTAGGAGTGACGACGTTAACAATAACCAAGGATCGTGAGACAGTCGGTATCCAACACGTCTACGTAGTGCGTACGTAGCGCGTACAAGATGGCTGTTGTAGCGCAACAAATTGTGTTCAAACTATAAACTCGGAAAGTTACTTTTTACCAGCCCCGTATATCCGGTAATCATGTTCTAATATTTTTTGAGTTCTATTTTTAGCCACTCATATACATAAAACCTGAATTTATCACTCAAAGCACTTTTGTCTTGGTTAAACATTACAGTCGAAGGGATATCTTTTTAATTATATGCTGTAATCATTGCTTAGGGCATTCGTCAACTCATTTGAGAATTTAAGTGAGGTGTGAAATTGTTTTTTTCAAGCGTTTTAACTTTTTGTGTTCCGAAAGGCGAGGGAGACCAAAGGATTAATTTTCAGTCGTTTTCAAGATTTCGTTTAACTATTTTTATATGACAAGGTGTCGAAGCACGCATTAAACCGTAACAAACACGGTTCAGGTCATGAAGCGAGTCACAAACCTTCAGACTGTTAGATATTTCCATAACTAATTGTAGTTATGTCATAACTAACCAATCAAATTGTGGTTTAAGCTTTTACCACGTGATCTGATCTGACGTGCCCGTAAACTATCTTTGTTGTAAATGACCTACTAATTGAAGGAGATTATTATCTTATTATATTGATGTCACTCATGGTTTTGTTCATTTCCATAAGACACGCTATTCTGGTCGGTATGTTTGATCGTTTCACTTGATAACTGTAATTTCCTTATTTATTGTACTAATCTAATTGTTTTTATGTTTAGAAACAGATAATATTTAAAACAAAATTGGTCTTGTTATGACCATAGCTTTCCTATAGGCTCTGTGCTAGCCAATATTGTGTTTACAGTTCTAGAAGCACATCTGTAGGACAAATTAAATCCTACACAGACAATACGGATACTCATTTTGGTACCATGTAAAATCTAGGTCTAAATCAATTGGGTGCAGCCAACTATGCTGCTGGACTATAGAGACTCTTAAGATCATGAGAAACCAATAACCCCTTCACTGGTCGCGACAACTGAGAAGTGGTGCCTAAGTAGTTGCTTATCTTGCGCGAGAGACAAAAATTCTGGTTTGAACACTGCTGTAGACACTGGTGCTGCATTAAATTTCATGTCAGAACAAAATTAAACTTAGTCGAAAATGTCTCCAGCTAAACTTCAGGCCGAGAATGAAAATAAATCTGCGTCGTTTGAGTATAAAACGTAAAGGCTAGGTCTTGGATGTAAAATGGCGGTTACCTTGGGCGTTCCGGATAGTGGATTTGGGTCTAGCAATACTGACAATGGAATTTCTACAGAGGTACGAAATTCTAGTCAACATTAAGAAGTGGCGTTTGGCACTTGGAGAAACTTTACATCACAAGAAAGGCACAAAAAGCCACATCGCTCCCCAAATTTCGCTCACACTCCACCTGAAGGTATTACAACAGTGCATGCATAGATAGAGATCGTTGAGAAATGCCAATTTCCTTAACAACCTTAGAACTTTTCAAAGTTTAACTTTTGTCTCCCACTTATACCCGATTGTTCACAACCAATGCAGCCGTTAACAGATTCCATTGGAGGAAAATCGGACCATTTGAAGTTGGTTTCTGAGGTCATTTTAGCCACTAACGGACTACAGAATAAACTATTCCAAGCATTTACGTTATGTGTGCGTAAGCCACATGTCTCGACGGTAGATGCTCAGGATTGACAAACAGACAACGTCCTTAACCGAATAGTTGAATATGCTAGAAAACCGATTTCGTTCTTCTCGAAAAAGTCAGGAATGAACAGTATACCTAGCCGTCAAGTATTTCCGACGCATGTTGGAAAGCAGGGTTTAGAATCCAATTTGAAGGCTTTGTTTGGGAATATATATATATATATGCAACATTTTGGTACTCCGTTTCATCCTATTTTGTGACGTTAATATATGTTATAGTTATAGTTATAGTTTGTTTGCTATAGTTTCTATATTTTGTACCTTTATTGGGGTTTCTGTGTTCTCTACTGAACTGTAATAAGCTGTTTAAATTGGTACTTAACTATGGCGTCAGCCATATCGGTTTTGATACCCGAGCGGTGAACTTTGAATCTGGACTGAAAGGGTGAAATTTCGAACTCATACAGAAGCATTCTTGAAGAATTGGAAAGACATTGTGTTAAATAACAGTGTAATATTGTTTGGGCAATCATATTTGCCCTTTAACTAACAGTAGAACCGTTTCTCACCCAAATAAATTGCTTTTTTGTTGGATTAACTGGGAAGGGCGCGTATCTAACTTCTTCGACTGTTCTCTCGAATTCAGAAACCACTGAAATTCCCCAAGACGGGGCAATAATAGTTTACATAGATCACAAAGCACATACTGATGCACGTAAAGCTGAATTCATTATTTTTTTGGAAGAGTTCTAATACCTGAACTTGATATTTCAGATAACGAACAATATGTGAAAGGTCAGGACAAACAGGCAGTGCATGCATTAGCTCGATTTGAAATGAATACAATCCAACAACTGACTATAAATTTTGAAGCCTTAGCGAACATCCGGGGAGAAGACGTATAATTACATGATCAACTTTCAGTGAAGAGCTCAAGTCACAAAGTCAGCAGCTTCCATCACTTACGAAAAGAAGTTTTACCCATTTTGTCACATCCAAAGCACTACATCAAACATTCGTTCCACAAATACTATGAGTGACCAAACTTACAGGAATATGTAGACAAGCGGGTTAGATAATCTTCTTTGTATCGACAGCCAAGGGTTAACCACTGTAAGGTTTCAACTATAGGAATTTTCTCACAGACTGTCAGGTTTGCACCCGCTTATAAAGACTTAGTTATGTTATGTTAGTGATGTTAAGAACGAGAACGGATGTCAATCTACTGTGGAACAGGTTACCAATTACTATCCGTCTCTTTGACACAACCACTAAGTTCAAGAAACTAGTCATGCTGTTGCTAGACTCTAAAGAGATTTATCGAATATTCCCGGAACTCACACAAACTCACCTGGCACCCTTCTATGGTTCACCAAATATTTAGATGAACCTCAGAAACGAATTATAGACTATGAACACATTGTGTTCTCTTTACCACCCATACATGTATCATGAAATGATAGACGAATCACCTTGCTCCTACTAACAGTAATAGGTTACGCCTTTGAAGTGTTACCAGTGACTTTTCTCTGAATTGGGAGAATTAGTAACCTGAAACAACTTTTATGACTCACTTGTTCATAACGTAATTTATCACTCTGAGCTCGTCTTTCATATTTCTCTTTATCTGAACACTCTTCCCATCGTCTGCCTAACTCCTTAGCGATATCACTAACCTTCCAATCGGGATGCTCACTGCGAATCTTCGGTCGAAACGCATCGCAAAAGAAGAAAAATGCAGACCATGAACGTTTAGGCATACTTGGATCTTTGATACGTCGCCGTCTACGACCACGCCTCATCCCGACTGGTGGTATATAATGAGCCATTTCCCGATTGAATCTGTCCATATCCAGTTTCGCCATTTCTTCAAAACACTTTCGTTGTTCTATATTCATGAGCTGAACAATAAGGGAGAAGTGATCATAAGACTGATAATGCTTCTTAATCTTTCATACCTTCCACTTTTCCGCACATTTCTTCGAAAATTCACTGAAAATAACATTTTCTGTTGGATGTTTTTTCCGGTGCTCTTCGCGTATTACTTGCACAAAACATGCATATGGTGTCATTGGTGGTTTAGGACGATTCTTATCCTTTACCATCATACTTTCTAGTTTAGTATGAAGGATATAGCGAATGAACCACTAGAATTTATGATTTTAAAAAATACGTAGCTTTGTGACTAGTCAAAAAACCAACAATCAATAAAATAAGACGATTTAGTTTAAAAATAAATAACTACCCAGAAAGTTGAGCAAAATCAAATACATAAAATAGAGGGAAGATAGTTGTGAACCCAAGATTGAACTCGTCAAAGTTTTTAAAATATTATCGTTCCATGCATTTGACAACTCTGCGACTTCGAATCATAACATAAACTAAAAGCTGAGATAACGGTTATTTTACTTAACATTTTATCCGCAGATTTACATGCAGCTTTGGAAACGTATACAGTGGTTAAAACTAATAGGATAGTTTCCATCTTTAGTTGTGTGTCAGTCAAATGACAAAATTTAACTGACACGATCAAAAACGGAGACAAGATATACTATTCACAAAATTATTCCTTTCATATGCAGTATGCGTGTTCACTAAACAGTTGATTAAAGATAATCAGGACATCAATAAAATGATGAAACAAAGAGTTTACCTAGTTAATGCAGATAAACTTGCCCCAATAATTACTACATTTATTTAACACAACGCAATGGAACAATCGATTCATCACAGTAATCTAAAATCATTATGACCATCTTTAGATCTAGGACGAACACTACGAGCCTCTTCAAATGGAGCTATACGGAACAAGTTAGATTCCGCAGTAAGTATTCATCATTACTCGTACTAACATCAACAAGTCAGTTACAACGTAGAACTTAGTGCGTACGAACGTGCACCAGTTCAAGTTGCCACACTACATAAGCACAGAGATGCAATTGTCAATTCAAATCACATAGTAGTAGAGCTAGTAGAAGTATTAGCGGTAATCAAAAAGACTAAGGGTTGAAGATATTATTCAAGAAGTATGATTCAGTGAAATAAATTTAGGAAGAGGAAGATAAAAGATTTGAGAGAACACAAAGAGTGTATGCACCTGAACCATTACAAACGATTTTCAGCCATGTCACTCAAGGTCTCTAACCATCGATTACTATCATCTCGCGGACTCCAACCGGGTAGTCGACACTTACCAACATGACTCAGTCCACCTGTCAGTGACTTCATGGATTTCTGCCATGTTTTGCTCTGACCGCCACTTAGTTTTCTTCCAGACTACCCCTACACGACAAAACATTGCTTGTCGAGGCAGTCAACGGTTGGGCATACGTAACACACGTCCCAACCACCTCAAATGATGAAGTTTCAACAACTCATCTATTGATTTGCCATCCTTACTTAATACCCGTTTTCTAACCTATTGGTCTGTCGAGGTGTGAATATGTGGTCTACGTAGCCACCTCCAGGTCTGAAACCAGCCTGGTTTCCTCGAGTCTGCTCTTCATGAACTCCAGTTAGGCGTCGAAGTATTATCGAGGCTAACAGTTTAGAAATTACATTAGTTAAGCTGATCCCTATGCGACTGTTACAAGAGGACTTTCGTCTTTTCTTATAGATTAGGACAATTAGTGATTGAGACTAGTCATATGGGTTTATGTCCAGTTCCCAAATTCTACCTAAGATCTCAGTCAATTTAACTGCTAAAACTGGACAATCATCCCTGAGAACTGGTACTTACATACACACAAAAGTGTTTGGTATGACGATACACCTAGAAATGTGTCAAGCGAAATGAAATAATAACAAGCAATAGGGGAGGAAATGGTGTAAGGGAAAGTAGAACTTGTTGAAAAAATACTAGTCCGCTTATGAATCACAATAAATTTTATAGATTTATATGTTGTATTTCATAACTAATGAGTCTAAGCAGACTACATCTAAAATAATTAGATGGTATAATGCACAAACGGGTGTTACGCGATATCCTTACACCATACGACAATGGTCATGGCCACTGCTACGCTTACATGGTAATTACTTTGTCATATAAGCGAGTAGTATAAAAGTCTATGGTAAAAACCTGTGTGGGTATTAATGCCACAGACCCCAGTGCTTTGTTCATGAAACTAGTACTTATCTTAACTAAACACATGTTGTAGTGTTCATATTGTGTACGACCCTTCAGAGGAAACAATCATAAAGGACTCATCACATATCCTCAATTTAGAAATTAGGTTTCAAAGACGGCCACTACGTGGTTAACAAGATCTTTTGCAGTTAAACTACAATTGTAGCTATTAACTGTTAACGTACCAGCAAGCCCAAAGTATATTAACACACTAAGGCGATTTCAAAATCACAGATGACCAAATGACTGCTTCTTGCTAATTTCAACGAGGATATAACAAAGTAGCCACGTAAAAAAGGACTTTCCACAAAAAACTACTTTGTGTGAAATGATGCAAAAGGCATTTAAAAACAAGACCTATCGGCTTTTTATGGAAAGAATCGATTTTCACTCATCTTAGCATGCTTTTGAGTCAAATAACACCATTAGTTGTACAATGATTCGCAAAGAAACCGGTACTCAGATAACCTGAACAAACTGGTTCAAGTGAAAAGTTCTGCAGTGAATTGCACCTTAGTTACTGCACTGTTCGGTTACAATAGTGAAGAAACGTGTTTTTGAAGATCATGATAAAAATATCACTACCTACGAAGAAGCATGGAAGTAAACGAAACAGCTGTTTGAAAGACAATATGAAGTTACAAGTAACTGCGCTTTCGTGTAAACAGATCACCTATATGAAGTTTGAAGAGGCTATATGATTTGTAAGAACAGACGAATTCTGATGGCGAACTTCTTTCCATATAAAGAACTCGAAGTTCTTAACAGTCTTTAAAATATACTGCCTGATTAAAAACATTGCATACGTTCAAACTATATTTGCTTCCCACTATAAATAACTCAACCTTGTTACCTGCGTTATGATTGGCTAGTGAATAGAAATTCGGTTTCAGTTTCAGTTAAAAACTGAACCATGTGTTGGAGAAACGAGTTACATTCGTTGAAAATTCTGTAATCGACTGACAAGAAATTTCTTCTCGACTTGAGAACCTTTTCAGTGTCCTTGAAAATTTGAGAATTCCCGAGGCAGGAATAATAAGGGCGCATCAGATAAGCATTTACTACCAAGTAGTTTAACAACTGTGATTAATTCCTCTCTAGCCCTCCTTTATGAATAGGGAGGTAGGTCTAATTTTATCAGTTTCTCGTCTTTCTATAATATTGAGTTGCCAAAAGTTAACTTGTTTGGAGTTCTTTGGACCTGTTCCAATGGTTCACTGTCTTTTTAGGCTGATGCTGGTTACTGATATGCAATACACAAGATAAGGTCGAATGAACTCTGTATACAAAGTCCAAAACGCCTAAGCATCGTGCCTAAAGGCCGAACGAATGGAAAATGATATTCTAAAAGACTTGGCAGCAATCGCATAGAAGTATGGAGCAGTTTTCAAGTCTCCACTAACAATGGCTACTAGTACGTTGTGTGCCTGGACAATCATGACTGAGATTCACGGCAGATGAAACTGTACCATGACGGTAAAATAAATCTCCTAAATGAATAAATCTGTTAGTCTTCAATATTAGTGCTGATCTCATTAGTCTTACTGAACACACCATAGCCGAGGGCGCTCAGTCACGCATCCGCACCGGATAACCATTAGGTACGTCGTGCAACTCATCGCCTCACATCAACTACCAAGCTCAGTTCACTCAACAACAAACCAACCATCAGTGAGCTATAACTTCAATCCTCCTCGTCTCCGAATCCTGGTTTGACTTGGCTTCGGCTATCCTCGGTCTGAAAAGTGTTACGTACAAAAGCGTTGTCCAACCATGAATATCCATGACATTCTCATGGATATGCCTAGCGAGTTAAGTTTATCCTCGAAATCCAACATACTTGTGCTGATTCCTTTGTACTAAAATCCCTTTTCGGTATATGTTTAAAAGGACCCAATCTTTTTCTTCCAGTACTGTCAATTTTTAAATTTGAAAAAATACAAAGGATACTAGGCATAAGCTGTACCTTACCAACCCTTACCCAAAACATCCTACTTTCTGCTTATGGGTGTTGTTATATCCGAATAAAGACTAAAGTAAATAGTAACTTAGGCAACCAGTTTATCCATTATTTTGACAGAACAGTGAGAAGACGTAATTGATCTGAAAAATGTGATGTATTTGCGCTGTACATTTCAAACAATCTGGTCACACATATTTACTTGTCAAGGCATTTTATATGAAGATGAATAAAAGGTCAATTAAATAAAAGTTCAAATAGACATAAGGTGATAATTGTAAATAATTACGTCTTCTCAATGTTCTATCAAAATTTATAAAAGGGACTAATTGTTTTATCTATTATTGCTGTATACAGTCTAGTTGTGTGATTACCAAGTAACTAGATGATTATCTATGCATATATATATGTCTTGCATCCTGATATCCTGAAAAAATCATTAACTACATTTTTATTATTTCTTTCTGAATCTGTTGCTAGTCCTCGGTTCGCAGTGTCCCCACTCACAGCTACTTCTTCTTCACCTATGAGTAGTTTTTAATTTCCATTTATTGATATGAAGTCATTTGGCTACGTGTGTTTATAAAGGAATGTCTAAAATATAATAACTAGTAGTCTTGGACTGATGGTGAGTGATCTTCATTTTGCTTCTGCGATTAGGTCAAGTTAGTGTCGTACCATCGTTTGAGCTTAGAGTAGTCATGTCTTTCATCCTTATCGTTTACTGGTTACAAAATGTTCATCTGCGGTGTCGTTTGGCGTAAGGACAACAGATTGTTAAATGAGATCTTGGAAGAAACTAAAGTACATAGGAAATAACTGAGTGAACATATAATTGGTCGAATCGAACAAGTGTCACATCGATTTATGTTTACTAAGTACATTACCGACGTTTGCCTAAACAATCTGATGAAACTATAAATAAGACGGAAAGGAATGAACAATCATCACTGAGACAAATTTTTCTATCAACAGAAGAAGCATCAGACTAAATGCAGGTAGATGTTTATTTTACAACACAATCTATGGAATCCCGAAATGATGGGGAAAGAAGATGAAGATGAAGAACTCTGTAAGATCCTTCGTCTGCAGCTTTAAGAACCTTTATCCCAAAGGTTTTGTCTTTTGGACAAGCGCGTCGAGAGGCTACAAATAAAATTGCAGGACTCCGATTCAATAAGCTTCAGCACAACTACTGTAGTGAACGATAACTCAGGTCGGGCAACCGAACTGTATTTGACGAAAATTACAGAGCTACTCAGTAAAATCGGAAAACCATATCGTAAATCGTTCATTTGCCAAATAGCAGTTCATCGTATAGAACTGGACTGTTCCTGTTGCAAAACATCAATCCATTGTCACTATTCATGCGTTTCATACAAATTCCATTGTTTTCTAACTCTTCCTTTCTTGATCTTCCCCCATCTTCGGCTGCCAGACATTACATTGACGCTCACGTCATATACTACTTATAGGTAGCTCGCATCATAGCACCACACTACGAACGACCATATACAATCAAACAAAGTTCTGGACTTTAATAAATATAACTCCGGTTGGCTTTGGTATCACAATACCCAGGACAAATCTCGAAAGCGCAGGAATTCTTGTAGTCTCCTTAAGTCAAAATTTCTCTGTCACGAACATTTTTAGAAACTCTCTAGCCGATACGCGTTGCCGGCAGACAAAGCCTCTTCCTGTATATCACTGATATGATGACGAATGTATGCTGTCTCGTAAAAACGAGTTCATAAGTTAGCGTCATTCGAGCAAGCACGAACGATCGTTTTGACGATCCAGTTTACAGTCTACAGATGGTAAAACGGAAAACCTATCGCCTTTTGGGAACAAGGTACGTCTACCTAAATATGTATTCACGTAAACCCATTCAGTGGATTATTATTGTGGTAGAAGTGTCAGTGCCAATCATTGGTAAAGACTTACTGCAACACCATAACTTACTAATGAACGATTAATAAATAGTTATACGAAGTTGCCTGTTTAAGGAGTTCGATTCTGTAGTTGTAGGATTTGTCCAGTCACAGTCAAACACCTAAAGGATCCACTCTTCCAACCGATTCTCGAATAGTGTCCGAAACTATACCAAACACGACCACGATTACTGTGCGTAAGCCGCAACTTTGAAAATCATGTCATGACCATAGGTACGCCTCTATTCTCAATAGTCTGAGGACTTGCTCGCGTAAAGCTAAGAATCATTCGACCACATGACAGATTTAGAGATTTTCTGACTGCCAAGCAGAACATGGGCATCCTTGTTGCTTATGGTCCCTAAAACGGACAGCAGTGAGTGGCTTCCGACCTGCGATTATCCACAACTGTATAAGAAAACCCCCCTTGGACGTTAACCGTTACCTCACATTCACAACTTTACGGCAACCTTGAAAGCTGGTATTGTCTTTTTGAAAGTCAGCCTGATTAAAGTATGTAACCAAATCCCTATGGCTGAGGATTACATTCTTGAAACGGCTATCATTACTACTTTTGGAGTAAACGGATTTTCGCGTACGCCCTTCGGATTAACAAATGTAGCCCAAACTTATCAACGATTCTTTGATGACGTCCTTAGAGGCCTCCACTTTGTGTATGTTTAAGTTGTGGCTGTCTATCCGTAAATGCGGATAGTGAATATTATCTTCAGCATCTGTGCCTTTATTTCTAAAGTCTTCAAAACATAATAATACTGTAAACAATCGTAGAGGTAAAATCGAATCAGATTTCCTCGATTTTCCAGATCTTAACATTGATGCTCCAGAATTTTCCCTTTATAAAATGAAGTGCGACGGTTCTGGATGACCCAGAATAGATCGTAGTCATGCAACTACGCACATTCAGTAGACTGGTCGGCCTTCACCAACACTTCTTGCCGAATTGAGTGTCGGTCATTAAACATGATCGTTTCAGCCACGTTTATCTTGATTAGCTAAGACCGTAACCGAATCCGAATGGATACTTTATACCTCACACGATGGCCAGAAGTAGTGTCAACCAAGGATAATACTGATGAAAGAGTGGTTTGTGCGCTTGTCAAACGATGGGTAGAAAACTTCCGCTGTCCTTCGATTATTTCTACAAGTTGGGGATGTTAGTTCAGGTATCGACTTCTTCGCCGTCGTATGACAGTATGACTTAGAGGTTGGCATTCAATAATAATAATAAAAAAAACATTTAGACAGTGGTAACTTTTAATCTTCAATGTTTTCGTTTTACAAACTCGACTCTTTCGATTTCAACGTACATAAATCCAGCTTCTTACTTCGACTTCTCTTCTATCCACCTGACACTGCACAACTCTTCCATCTTTATCTGTGAGTTATATTCTTATATTCCCATAATTTACTTAAATTTAAGTGGTCAGTATGAATTTTATCTTGACTTACTACTGTATTGACTACTTCAACATGACAGGTTAAGTAGTGCTTTGGTTATATATATACACTTGCTACACTACTGCCTTTTTCTCTCTCTCTTTTCTCCTTTTCAGAACCCCATTCACTGTGGGGAACATGTACCCTATGTACATGACTGTCTGGATCACAGCTCGTATCAAGCGCGTTCCAATTGACCTTTCCCAACAAATTCACTATTGATCTCGGCAAATCACCAAAAGAACCTATTGTGTACCTTCCTTAGTTGTACTCTTCTATTGAAAATGTGACTGTATTATACTGTTTCTATCGGTGACATGGTGTAAATATGCTATCAGAAACTGACTCTTACACTTAATTTAACTGCTATAACTTTTACGGTAATTGTGAAAACATTTGTGACAATTTGATCTAGCCTGTAAACTGGCGTGACTCTTGTAACGTAGTTATTTGAGAATAAATATATTATTATTATTATTACACTACTATGAATCATATAGTTCATAAGAACCGCCTGCTATGAGTAGGCTAACGGTTTGCTGGGACCACCCGACTAGTTATTGACAGCCTCACTTTGAGCTGAAAACGTATCATTGTCGACTGACGCTTTTTTGAGTTACTTAGAGTTCGCAATGCATGAAAGCCGACATTCGATGCATTACAGCCAAACTCGTTTATGGCACGACACTGACTCAAAGGATAATCAATGGATTCTTTATCTGCTTCAAAAGATGTAGATTTAAACTCCCTAACCAACAGACTTAAAAATGTAACGCTTTCAGTCGATCCTGTTTCTACTGGACCTAGAGCAACTGGTGCATTCATTCAACATGCCTAAGGATTTAATGCACATGTTTTCGCACGCTGAGACTGATCCCGTCCACCTCTTACAGCTGCATACGAAGGATCCTACAGAGTTCTTCATCTCCAACATAAGTACTTCACGATCGATAGGAACGAGAATAAAGACAACATAAAAGTCGGCCTGCTGAAAGACTCTAACTTCTCACTATTCCTGTAATACAATTAATATGACCGGTCTAAATGGAAACAGACAGTTCTACTGTATGGAGCGGAAACATGGAGAACTATCAAAGCCATCATCCAGAAGATACAAGTGTTTATTAACAGTTGTCTACGCAAAATACTTCGTATTCGTTGGCCAGACACGATCAGCAACAACGAACTGTGGGAGAGGACAAACCAGATTCCAGTGGAGGAGGAAATCAGGAAGAAGCGGTGGAAGTGGATAGGACACACGCTACGAAAAGCACCTAACTGCATCACGGGACAAGCCCTCACATGGAACCCTGAAAGCAAAAGGAAAAGAGGAAGGCCAAAGAATACATTACGCCGAGAAATAGAGAAAGATATGAGAGGAATGAACAAAAATTGGACAGAACTGGAGAGAGAAGCCCAGGACAGAGTTGGTTGGAGAAAACTGGTGGGCGGCCTATGCTCCATTGGGGGTACCAGGCGTAAGTAAGTGAGTAAGTAAGTAAATGGAAAGGGAATGCTTCATGTTATACGGTACCGTAAACGTAATACATCGCTGAGTGAAAAGAATGCAACTATCCTGGGTTATATTTTTCGATTTCCCCATTATTTCGGGATTCCATAGATTGTGTTGTAAAATAAACATCTACCTGCATTTAGTCTGATGCTTCTTCTGTTGATAGAAAAATTTGTCTCAGTGATGATTGTTCATTCCTTTCCGTCTTATTTATAGTTTCATCAGATTGTTTAGGCAAACGTCGGTAATGTACTTAGTAAACATAAATCGATGTGACACTTGTTCGATTCGACCAATTATATGTTCACTCAGTTATTTCCTATGTACTTTAGTTTCTTCCAAGATCTCATTTAACAATCTGTTGTCCTTACGCCAAACGACACCGCAGATGAACATTTTGTAACCAGTAAACGATAAGGATGAAAGACATGACTACTCTAAGCTCAAACGATGGTACGACACTAACTTGACCTAATCGCAGAAGCAAAATGAAGATCACTCACCATCAGTCCAAGACTACTAGTTATTATATTTTAGACATTCCTTTATAAACACACGTAGCCAAATGACTTCATATCAATAAATGGAAATTAAAAACTACTCATAGGTGAAGAAGAAGTAGCTGTGAGTGGGGACACTGCGAACCGAGGACTAGCAACAGATTCAGAAAGAAATAATAAAAATGTAGTTAATGATTTTTTCAGGATATCAGGATGCAAGACATATATATATGCATAGATAATCATCTAGTTACTTGGTAATCACACAACTAGACTGTATACAGCAATAATAGATAAAACAATTAGTCCCTTTTATAAATTTTGATAGAACATTGAGAAGACGTAATTATTTACAATTATCACCTTATGTCTATTTGAACTTTTATTTAATTGACCTTTTATTCATCTTCATATAAAATGCCTTGACAAGTAAATATGTGTGACCAGATTGTTTGAAATGTACAGCGCAAATACATCACATTTTTCAGATCAATTACGTCTTCTCACTGTTCTAGTCAAAATAATGGATAAACTGGTTGCCTAAGTTACTATTTACTTTAGTCTTTATTCGGATATAACAACACCCATAAGCAGAAAGTAAGGATGTTTTGGGTAAGGGTTGGTAAGGTACAGCTTATGCCTAGTATCCTTTGTATTTTTTCAAATTTAAAAATTGACAGTACTGGAAGAAAAAGATTGGGTCCTTTTAAACATATACCGAAAAGGGATTTTAGTACAAAGGAATCAGCACAAGTATGTTGGATTTCGAGGATAAACTTAACTCGCTAGGCATATCCATGAGAATGTCATGGATATTCATGGTTGGACAACGCTTTTGTACGTAACACTTTTCAGACCGAGGATAGCCGAAGCCAAGTCAAACCAGGATTCGGAGACGAGGAGGATTGAAGTTATAGCTCACTGATGGTTGGTTTGTTGTTGAGTGAACTGAGCTTGGTAGTTGATGTGAGGCGATGAGTTGCACGACGTACCTAATGGTTATCCGGTGCGGATGCGTGACTGAGCGCCCTCGGCTATGGTGTGTTCAGTAAGACTAATGAGATCAGCACTAATATTGAAGACTAACAGATTTATTCATTTAGGAGATTTATTTTACCGTCATGGTACAGTTTCATCTGCCGTGAATCTCAGTCATGATTGTCCAGGCACACAACGTACTAGTAGCCATTGTTAGTGGAGACTTGAAAACTGCTCCATACTTCTATGCGATTGCTGCCAAGTCTTTTAGAATATCATTTTCCATTCGTTCGGCCTTTAGGCACGATGCTTAGGCGTTTTGGACTTTGTATACAGAGTTCATTCGACCTTATCTTGTGTATTGCATATCAGTAACCAGCATCAGCCCAAAAAGACAGTAAACCATTGGAATAGGTCCAAAGAACTCCAAACAAGTTAACTTTTGGCATCTTAATATTATAGAAAGACGAGAAACTGATAAAATTAGACCTACTTCCCTATTCATAAAGGAGGGCTAGAGAGGAATTAATCACAGTTGTTAAACTACTTGGTAGTAAATGCTTATCTGATGCGCCCTTATTATTCCTGCCTCGGGAATTCTCAAATTTTCAAGGACACTGAAAAGGTTCTCAAGTCGAGAAGAAATTTCTTGTCAGTCGATTACAGAATTTTCAACGAATGTAACTCGTTTCTCCAACACATGGTTCAGTTTTTAACTGAAACTGAAACCGAATTTCTATTCACTAGCCAATCATAACGCAGGTAACAAGGTTGAGTTATTTATAGTGGGAAGCAAATATAGTTTGAACGTATGCAATGTTTTTAATCAGGCAGTATATTTTAAAGACTGTTAAGAACTTCGAGTTCTTTATATGGAAAGAAGTTCGCCATCAGAATTCGTCTGTTCTTACAAATCATATAGCCTCTTCAAACTTCATATAGGTGATCTGTTTACACGAAAGCGCAGTTACTTGTAACTTCATATTGTCTTTCAAACAGCTGTTTCGTTTACTTCCATGCTTCTTCGTAGGTAGTGATATTTTTATCATGATCTTCAAAAACACGTTTCTTCACTATTGTAACCGAACAGTGCAGTAACTAAGGTGCAATTCACTGCAGAACTTTTCACTTGAACCAGTTTGTTCAGGTTATCTGAGTACCGGTTTCTTTGCGAATCATTGTACAACTAATGGTGTTATTTGACTCAAAAGCATGCTAAGATGAGTGAAAATCGATTCTTTCCATAAAAAGCCGATAGGTCTTGTTTTTAAATGCCTTTTGCATCATCTCACACAAAGTAGTTTTTTGTGGAAAGTCCTTTTTTACGTGGCTACTTTGTTATATCCTCGTTGAAATTAGCAAGAAGCAGTCATTTGGTCATCTGTGATTTTGAAATCGCCTTAGTGTGTTAATATACTTTGGGCTTGCTGGTACGTTAACAGTTAATAGCTACAATTGTAGTTTAACTGCAAAAGATCTTGTTAACCACGTAGTGGCCGTCTTTGAAACCTAATTTCTAAATTGAGGATATGTGATGAGTCCTTTATGATTGTTTCCTCTGAAGGGTCGTACACAATATGAACACTACAACATGTGTTTAGTTAAGATAAGTACTAGTTTCATGAACAAAGCACTGGGGTCTGTGGCATTAATACCCACACAGGTTTTTACCATAGACTTTTATACTACTCGCTTATATGACAAAGTAATTACCATGTAAGCGTAGCAGTGGCCATGACCATTGTCGTATGGTGTAAGGATATCGCGTAACACCCGTTTGTGCATTATACCATCTAATTATTTTAGATGTAGTCTGCTTAGACTCATTAGTTATGAAATACAACATATAAATCTATAAAATTTATTGTGATTCATAAGCGGACTATATTTTTTCAACAAGTTCTACTTTCCCTTACACCATTTCCTCCCCTATTGCTTGTTATTATTTCATTTCGCTTGACACATTTCTAGGTGTATCGTCATACCAAACACTTTTGTGTGTATGTAAGTACCAGTTCTCAGGGATGATTGTCCAGTTTTAGCAGTTAAATTGACTGAGATCTTAGGTAGAATTTGGGAACTGGACATAAACCCATATGACTAGTCTCAATCACTAATTGTCCTAATCTATAAGAAAAGACGAAAGTCCTCTTGTAACAGTCGCATAGGGATCAGCTTAACTAATGTAATTTCTAAACTGTTAGCCTCGATAATACTTCGACGCCTAACTGGAGTTCATGAAGAGCAGACTCGAGGAAACCAGGCTGGTTTCAGACCTGGAGGTGGCTACGTAGACCACATATTCACACCTCGACAGACCAATAGGTTAGAAAACGGGTATTAAGTAAGGATGGCAAATCAATAGATGAGTTGTTGAAACTTCATCATTTGAGGTGGTTGGGACGTGTGTTACGTATGCCCAACCGTTGACTGCCTCGACAAGCAATGTTTTGTGGTGTAGGGGTAGTCTGGAAGAAAACTAAGTGGCGGTCAGAGCAAAACATGGCAGAAATCCATGAAGTCACTGACAGGTGGACTGAGTCATGTTGGTAAGTGTCGACTACCCGGTTGGAGTCCGCGAGATGATAGTAATCGATGGTTAGAGACCTTGAGTGACATGGCTGAAAATCGTTTGTAATGGTTCAGGTGCATACACTCTTTGTGTTCTCTCAAATCCTTTATCTTCCTCTTCCTAAATTTATTTCACTGAATCATACTTCTTGAATAATATCTTCAACCCTTAGTCTTTTTGATTACCGCTAATACTTCTACTAGCTCTACTACTATGTGATTTGAATTGACAATTGCATCTCTGTGCTTATGTAGTGTGGCAACTTGAACTGGTGCACGTTCGTACGCACTAAGTTCTACGTTGTAACTGACTTGTTGATGTTAGTACGAGTAATGATGAATACTTACTGCGGAATCTAACTTGTTCCGTATAGCTCCATTTGAAGAGGCTCGTAGTGTTCGTCCTAGATCTAAAGATGGTCATAATGATTTTAGATTACTGTGATGAATCGATTGTTCCATTGCGTTGTGTTAAATAAATGTAGTAATTATTGGGGCAAGTTTATCTGCATTAACTAGGTAAACTCTTTGTTTCATCATTTTATTGATGTCCTGATTATCTTTAATCAACTGTTTAGTGAACACGCATACTGCATATGAAAGGAATAATTTTGTGAATAGTATATCTTGTCTCCGTTTTTGATCGTGTCAGTTAAATTTTGTCATTTGACTGACACACAACTAAAGATGGAAACTATCCTATTAGTTTTAACCACTGTATACGTTTCCAAAGCTGCATGTAAATCTGCGGATAAAATGTTAAGTAAAATAACCGTTATCTCAGCTTTTAGTTTATGTTATGATTCGAAGTCGCAGAGTTGTCAAATGCATGGAACGATAATATTTTAAAAACTTTGACGAGTTCAATCTTGGGTTCACAACTATCTTCGCTCTATTTTATGTATTTGATTTTGCTCAACTTTCTGGGTAGTTATTTATTTTTAAACTAAATCGTCTTATTTTATTGATTGTTGGTTTTTTGACTAGTCACAAAGCTACGTATTTTTTAAAATCATAAATTCTAGTGGTTCATTCGCTATATCCTTCATACTAAACTAGAAAGTATGATGGTAAAGGATAAGAATCGTCCTAAACCACCAATGACACCATATGCATGTTTTGTGCAAGTAATACGCGAAGAGCACCGGAAAAAACATCCAACAGAAAATGTTATTTTCAGTGAATTTTCGAAGAAATGTGCGGAAAAGTGGAAGGTATGAAAGATTAAGAAGCATTATCAGTCTTATGATCACTTCTCCCTTATTGTTCAGCTCATGAATATAGAACAACGAAAGTGTTTTGAAGAAATGGCGAAACTGGATATGGACAGATTCAATCGGGAAATGGCTCATTATATACCACCAGTCGGGATGAGGCGTGGTCGTAGACGGCGACGTATCAAAGATCCAAGTATGCCTAAACGTTCATGGTCTGCATTTTTCTTCTTTTGCGATGCGTTTCGACCGAAGATTCGCAGTGAGCATCCCGATTGGAAGGTTAGTGATATCGCTAAAGAGTTAGGCAGACGATGGGAAGAGTGTTCAGATAAAGAGAAATATGAAAGACGAGCTCAGAGTGATAAATTACGTTATGAACAAGTGAGTCATAAAAGTTGTTTCAGGTTACTAATTATCCCATTTTCCGAACGTTTAGGAGTCAGTCAGCTATACGCATCATAGAACGTAATGCTTGTTTATCTATCTCATCATCATGAATAGACCATAGCTGCTACCTTATCGTGGTGGTCGGGCTTACCTATTGTGATGACCCAACCGAGCTATATTGGCTAGAACATATATTCCTGTAGGCCGAGCGTGTAGACCGCTTCACTTATCATAGGGGTCGCATCAATGCTGATGGCCTGGTGACTGACGAAATCTCAGCAGGGATACAGAAAACTCTATTGGCTTTTGCCAACTTCTGTCACCTGTGGCGCAGGCGAGATATCCGTTTTCTAACCAAAGGACGAGTCTACTGCCTAGCAGTTCGCTCCGTAAGAGTAGAGGACATTCGCAGGCTATTAGTATTCGATTATAGATCTCTTGGAAGCATTGTTCGTATATCCTGTGACAACCGAGTAAGGAATTCTGTCGTTAGGAAACGATTATTAGTTGAGGATGGCAGATCAATAGATGAAGTTGAGGTGGTTGGGACATGTGTTACGTATTCCTAACCACCGACTGCCTCGACAAGCTACATTTTGTGGTGTAGGAGTAGGTTGGAAGAAAGTTAGGGACGGCCAGACCAAAACATGGCATAAATCCATGAAGTCACTGAAAAGTGGACTGAGTCATGTTGGTAGATGTAGGCTACCTGGTTGAGGTCCGCGAGATGTTAATAATCGATAATCAGAGAGACCTTGAACTAGATGACTCAAAATCGTTTGCAATGGTGCAGTTGAATTCGCTCATTGTGTTCTCTCGAATTCTAATCATCTGAATTCCTCATCATCTCTATCTTTCTCTTTCTAAAGTTATCTCACCTAATTATACTTCTCGAATAATGTCCTCGAACCCTAATCTTCTCCATTACTGCTAATACTTTTCCTATCTCTATCAACATGGGATTTTAACTGACAAATGCGTCTCTGTGCTGATACGGTATGGCAACACGAACTTATGTACTCATGTACGAAGTTCTACGTTGTAACTGACTGACTGACTGAATACACGTAGGTCTGATAATTGTTAGCAATAACAGCGTACTTGGGAAGCTGTTTTTATTTTGGAAATTACCATTAATGTATATGGATGTAAAACTAACTCTTAATGACTAACCATCTTATAATTAATGTGACTCAAAGCCCAGTACATAAATCTGTACTTTGTTATTAAGTTGAATGATATTATCGCCAAAACGTTGCAGAATAGGCAATACAAGCAAATAAACAGACGCAAAATACCCTAAACCCGGCACAAATATATGGGGGTCCAAGACAAGAACATGAATTTAGATCAAATACTGGTGAAAAGTAGATAGGGGATATAAAATTTGAACATCGAAACTATTGTCAAAGAAATCTAACGGAAAAAGGTAATAAAGACTTTGACGAAATAATAGGGCCAAGATTTTGTGAAAAATAAAGTTTCGTTGTAACGTATCAATCAATCCATCAATAGCAGCGTAGAACTTCGTACATACGTACATCAGTTCATGTTGCCATACCACATTAGCACAGAGATGTAATTGTCAATTCAAATCCCACAGTAGTAAAGGTAGTAAAGGTATTAGCAGTAGTCGGAGAGGTTAAGATTAGAAGATATTATTCAAGAAGTAGAATCTAGTGAAATAGACTTAAAAAGATAAGGATAAAGTGACAAAGAATTAAAAAAGTTTGGGATTTGAGAGAACACAAAGAATGAATGCACCTGCGCGATTGCAAACGGTTTTGAGCCATGTCGTTCAGGGTCTCTAACCATCGATTACTAACATCTCGCAGACCCCAACCAGGTAGCCTACATCTACCAACATGACTCAGTCCACTTGTCAGTGACTTCATAAATTTCTGTCATGTTTTGGTCTGACTCCCCCCTAGCTTTCGTCTAACCTATTCCTACACCGCAAAATATAGCTCTACGAGGCAGTCGGTGGTTAGGCATACACAATACATGTCCCAACCACCTCACGTTGTAACGTATCTTTTTCACCATGTCGTCAAAGATGTCCAATCATAAATTAAATAATCTCTTGAATTCCAACCCGAAAGTTGCTTCCCTGCGGATGTCAAATCAATAATCAGTGACCTTTAATAATGATACCATATTTTGGTTCTTTTGCTCTTAGCCATTTTCCAACGTACCTTTTACTCAAACTATCATACTATTCCAAGGTAGAGACTGTTTACTCTCACGTAACATATTCAAACCACCTCAGTCAGAGTTCTCATGGGTTAACATCAGTGACTAATACTTCGGTGATATATATGGTTAAATGCTAGATGAGTAAGACCAGAGAAATGTCCAATGCTAGTTTAATCTATTTGCTCAACTGTTTTATAACTTCTAAAAAGAATTACATTTATATTTGAAAACTTTTGAGATAAACCACTTACTATCCTGCTCCATATTTGTACTTTTAAAAAATAGGATATGGAGAAATACAAAGCTGGATTATATGTAGCGACAAAACGTGCTCGAATTTGCGAACAAACGAAATCGAACGAGATACTGTCATGTTTACATATTCAGTCACATCATAAGCAGTTAGGTGAAACAAGTCGAATTTCAAGTGATGGATTAGGAAGAGGTGATGGAGACGATGAAGATGGCGATGAAGATGAAGATGATGATGATGACGACGATGAAGAAGAAGGCGATGGAGCGGAACAAGAAGAGGATGAAGATGATGAGCAACAATCAAACAGACCTAACACCCATGAAATGTCCATTAGTGGTGGTCACAAAACATCAGAACAACTTGTCTCCACCGATACAACAAATAGCATTATCATAAATACAGGAAATTGAAGTGTACGAATGATTATGTAAACTTTTTCCCTTCTCTCATCTTTGCGTATATGTTTAACCATATATTGTCATCAATTCATCGTTAGTCATTTTCTTTTTTTTGTATTATGTATACAACAGACCCACCGATACAAATGCATTTATTTCTCATCATTATTGATTATCTTTTCTTCTACACTTCATACAGTTTTATCTTTAGTTTTTTATATTAATAGATAACTTCTCAATTATGTACTATGAATCACAACCTCTACTTACTTCGTACATCGTTTCGTTTTTTGTATGCTAACTTATAGTTTCATAATATAGTCGTCGGATTGGATTCTAACGGCACTGGTTACAATAACAATCATAATCATAATTAATATCATTGGTATTATTGTTATTATTATTATTATTATTATTATTATTATTATTATTATTATTATTTGAGTTTCATATTCTCATCAGCCTAGCTTTTATGCTAGGCATCTTACTTCTAATTAATCAATATACAATTAATTTATGGTTATTAGGATAAATATCTGTGGATACAATCGGTTTTTCTGTTTGCAATTAATTCACAATTTACCGCTTTGTAGACTTTGTAAAGATTTAAATTTTTTGCAGTCAAATACAGCTTTTCATGCCAGTTAATGAACTGTGTGTATGATGTCAAAGCAAATAATGATATATCTCGAGGTTCCAAGAAAGTGTTATCTATATTTCTGACTTCATATTTAATGCTAAGCTGTGAATATATATTCATACAATAAGTTTTATCACTTTCTAAATATTTTGATTTTCTTTTAAACATAATAGTTAAGGCAATCGACTTTCCGTTATACTCAAATACTTAGTAGATGATTTAGTTATTCTATCATTTCTAAACTCTTAAATTAATGATTAACAGTCAAAGTTACTATGTGACTGTAGTTTACAGTGGCAATTCGTTAAGTCCTAGGCTGTGGCTGTTATCTTTGGTAGACTAACTGAATTTAATTTTTGAGATGATACAATACTTAGGGGTAATCACTTTTGCTCTTACATTCCTCTTTTTGTCTTTTCCCTGTTTTATTTTCTAAAATTATTGCCATGAAAACACCGCATTACCTTAGCCAAGTTTTTCCAACTAACTATTTTCAGCTCTCATTATTGTTAGCTTTGTTGAAAGTGAACTTATGAGAGTATTCACTTAATGAAACCCTGAAACATTGGAATTTTGTAGCATGCCTTATTGCATGATATTAATTGACGTTGATTTGCTTTCCACACAATCTGATTGTACACACTACGTACTACCATAAATTTAACCTTATTTGGATATCATAATTTGCGTTATTATGGTGTATCTATTTGATATCATTTACAAACCACTACTGTATACCAAGAGTTATAATCAAATAAAGTTAGAGAAGAATTTAACTGAAAAATCAATATAGAGATATTTGTGATGTCGGATTTCATTTTGGCCTTCAGATTTATGTAGATCGACAAGCGATTCGAAATCGGATAACCATCAACTAATCATGTTGCATTCTATGGACATTTTCAACCATTTAATTGATCTAAAGTGTTTTGAAACAGTATTTCTCAAGCTGCCTTATACAGTAAGTTTGAAAATACTCATTTTCCGGCAAAATAAGCTATAGTTTAATGTAGTTAAAGCAATACGTGATATTAAATATTTCATGAACAAATAATTCAGAAAGTTCCTCTTGCAATTTGCTCAAAATTTGTTCGTCCGTATGGTAGCTGATGTCATATCGTAATGTAAACCTTAACCTCAAACGTCTAATTCTTAAATGTATTATCTAATCTATTTGGATCCTTATAAAGGTTACAGAAGATCGGTAATCTATACCCATAAAGATGAATTTGTATGCATCAAATGGATCATGCAGCTATACCTGAAGTCGAAGTTGAAATTGTACTCCTGGACGTCGATCCAGTGATTCTAATGACTCAGTGTTTGTTGCTAGACTTAGTGGTCTTTGGTTCGGCCGCTGATGAATCGGATGCGCACCTATGTGGGGTCTCATGATGGGATGAAGCATCCACCCTGTTCACCCTGGCTCCTAATGGTAGTCCAAATGAGATCAGTTTGTGACGAACACAGATAAGGTAGATCCATCAGACATTAGTCGAGGCTAAATGTTACCACACGCTATTAAGTCAAGGTTTGGCTTAATTTTATTAGGGGAATGTGTGTACGCTATTGGCTGAATGCTTGACTTGGTTGTCTAATGGATACATGCATATTTATGAATTTGCTTGTGTACATTGTTTTCTTCCAGGTTAGCCAATAAAGACTTTCTATTCGTCGTTGGTTTCTAACTCAATCAGTTGATTGTGAATCCATACAAGAAGCGTACACATCAGCATCAGACTCAGAAGAATTCCCAAGATAACAACTACAATGTGTATTAATAATTCATTGACTTAATCTCATAAATCTAAGGATTGATTTCATCGTTTTCTTATCAATACAAATAATTTCTACTGATATGCGGTTTTTCTGATATTGCCATTAATCAACTTTAATCAAATGATCAGCAGATCATCCACTAATTTCCAACCAGTCAAACTCTACCGTGGCTGTTTAAAAGTCATACAAAATAGCGTCTTCTTCAAAACCTAATTAAGACCAAAATGAAAGTAAGCCAATTCAAAAAAATGGTTAAGATGATAGATACTTGTCGATAGAGTAGTTAGTTTAACATTCCGTAGTAAATGACCACTTTCCTAATTTTGATCTAAACACTTAACTCCACTGATAAGGATAATTTAGTTATGCAAAAGAGGTGTATGCAGATTTCAATGCCCATTATTCACGTGTTAGCTTCACTTATCCCGACGGTCTTATTAGTGCTGATGGCCTGGTGTGTGACGAAATCTGAGCATGGAGACAGAAGGCTCGATTAGCTTTTGCCAACTTGACGTGGGCGAGATATCCGTTTGCTAACCAAAGGTCGAGTCTACTGAGCAGTAGTTCGCTACGTCCTACTATATGGATGCGAAACACTGCCGGTAAGAGTAGAGGATATTCGTAGGCTATTAGTATTCGACTATAGATTTCTTCGAAGCACCTCTGCTTGTATATCCTGTGACAACCGAGTAAGGAATGCTGTTGTTAGGAAACGAGTACTAAGGAGGTGTTAGGGTATTCGTAAAAACATCCCAAAAATTATTTTGTTAAGTCTAATTCTATCATTGAACGTAAAATCGTATGTTTCTACACTTTTCACATGTTTCACATACTTCACACCTCGTTTCCTATTGGTCAATATTTGCGGTCGTCTTAACTGTATAAATATGCATTGTCTTTAAAGTTCTAGGCTGTACTCTGACCCCGTAAACAATCTTCCTCTGACGGTTTCGGGTTCTGATATATTGGGGATTCGGAAGACATAATTTATGGTCGTACTGGAATATCTGAGGTTGGCCGATCGGTAGAATTCCGAGTAGCCACATCGCGGACTGCAGTAGTAGGGAATGCAAATCAATAGATGAGTTGTTGAAACTTCATCATTTGAGGTGGTTGGAACATATGTTACGTATGCCCAACCGTTGACTGCCTCGACAAGCAATGTTTTGTGGTGTAGGGGTAGTCTGGAAGAAAACTAAGTGGCGGTCAGAGCAAAACATGGCAGAAATCCATGAAGTCACTGACAGGTGGACTGAGTCATGTTGGTAAGTGTCGACTACCCGGTTGGAGTCCGCGAGATGATAGTAATCGATGGTTAGAGACCTTGAGTGACATGGCTGAAAATCGTTTGTAATGGTTCAGGTGCATACACTCTTTGTGTTCTCTCAAATCCTTTATCTTCCTCTTCCTAAATTTATTTCACTGAATCATACTTCTTGAATAATATCTTCAACCCTTAGTCTTTTTGATTACCGCTAATACTTCTACTAGCTCTACTACTATGTGATTTGAATTGACAATTGCATCTCTGTGCTAATATGGTGTGGCAAGACAAATATTTCAAATGGAGTGTTTTTTTAATGTACGATGGTTTGATTATAAGACTCAATTGCAATACGCTGAACTTTCCTCATCAACTCTGTTACTTTGTACAATAATTTTCTAGGTGCGAAGTATCCTACCTAATAAAAGGAAGTAATATTTTACTATTATCGAATTTATTTAAAATTCTCAGTAGTTGTTTCCATCAAATGTCTCTTAATTTTTCGATGTAGCTAGTCAAGTGGGTCTGAATCATTACAATAATGAGTTCAGGTTGAATTAACATCTACATCTATTTCTCTAAGAGAATACATTCTCAGATCCCCATTACAATCTTGAATAAATTTGTGAACGAGCATTAGTATGGTTCTCAAATATATTCAGAAATGACATTACATCATTTTAAATTAGAAACAAAGACAAAAAGCCATAAATATGTTCCTGGTTGCAGTGTAAGTTGCTGCGCGAAAAAATTCTACATTGTTGGAAACCTGGTTAATTTTAGCCGACACCATATGTTTTTGTAGTGTACTGGAACACGGTAGACTCGTGAGATTAGTGTTGTAGTATTTTGATTGAATATAGTCTGGATGAACAAACATCCCATTAGTTAAAACAGGTAAGTATTACATTTTCGAAAAGACAACGAGATATAATAAATCACAAAAGAAGAATAACTCTACTACTGAAGACAAAATAATACTGCAAGAGTTATTTAATTTAATTAGTTTGTGATAAAAACATAATAAAAGGAGAATAGAGATTATTAATATCTATATTTATTTATATAGTTGTTATGCTGATAAGGCTTTTTTTCGTACTAACAGAACTTTAAATCTAATGCTTTTGAAAGTTAGGCATAAAATCCTAAGAAAAGCAACAAAATCACTAACAATTACAGGATCAGATGTTGTAGAGAGATAGGAAAACCACCAAAACCAATTTAGTATTAGGATAGAAAAAGAATTTAAAATGCTGTTTAATTTGGATGAATAATGTTATCTATAATCAAATATAGTCATGTGTTTAATGTGGCTGGCGTAAATTACACCTTAGTTTATCCATACCTTCAGTTTGATAAATAGCGATAATTACCGTATTGACAATTAAGAATATTTTATTGCTACCACATATGTATTATAATAAAATGAAAGAAATAACTCGCATTTAATCAAACTTTATGATTCTGTATCAATGAAATTCAGATAATTCATATAATTATATTTTAAACTGAATATCATGTTAACGTGTCGATGTAAAGAAACTGATCTGACTAAATATAGCTTGTAATAATTTATTTTTGAATAATTTTAAACTTAACTGATTAGATGTTTTCTGACTGACAAATTTTTGAAGGAAATGTTTCGACGCTTTGATCGCAGTTGAGAATACACAATACATATAGGATTCAAAATTATCATCTTATATTTTGTATAAAAAAAAGCACTAATATTTTTGTATTTCTGGTTTATATAAACAA